TTTTTTTGTGGCTGGTACGCAGGTATCAGAATTTGCGAACGTCGCGTGATCTGCGAGAATCGCAAGTACCGCGCGCGAGCGACAACTACGATTCATTGGGTGGTCGCAAAGTCTGACCACGCCATACTGTCGCGATGGCCTCGAAACATCGATAACGTGTTGTCTTTTTGATGCACTGGATCAGATAGACATTAAAGTATGCACGAACCTTCAAGTAGAATTTGTTCATATTTCAAATGAGTCTGGACAAAATCCCTATTTTATTATAGTGAGTGCCTGCAATATGTGTACATCGACTGGTAGAACGTATTTCAAAGAGGTATATAGTCGGAGGTTTCACACCTTCTACAAATAACGGATGAGCCGAAACTCGTCGTCAGCTCAAGAACTACAACAGACTAAAAATGAACCCTCTTCCTGTGTAATATACTGAAATGCAACAAAAGATTCATTCATATCTTTATCTCTTCGCAGTTGGAAGCGCGTAATCTCATTTTGCCGTTGTGCAGGTCGGTCTGCTGCATCACCAGCCAACGTCCAAAAGCGGTTGTTCCGCTAGAACGCAATATCAAGCAGGACCAGTGCCATAAGCTCTGCTCACAGTTTGCATTAACACATTGCGTACCGAGCCCTTTTTCCGGTGGCGAGCTCGCATGGCCGCGCGTGCTTGCGCACTGTGCGCAGTTGGCGCACATGGTGGCGCTTACAGCCACACGGGACAGACATTTTTCGGGATTCCTTTCTAAGGATACTTTTTTACTTACTTGTTCTTACTGTCAGATTAGGTCACAGTTTAATAGCGTCATATTTTTTTGCTTATTTAGCTTGTAATGTACGTTTTGAGAGTTAACAAATGATTACACTTCAACGATTGTGAAGGATCCAAAAATCTGCTTTGTCCAACTTCTCATGTCTTATAAGACAGCGCTGGCGAGCTAGACAATTCGATTACCCCACAGAGTCAACCCTGCGTTGCGCAGTTCGCAACGGCACGTTGAGAGATCCTCAACGCACGCTGTATGGGCGGAGACGCAGACGGCTCGAGCATGCGAGTGTGAATGTTCGCGCGAGAGAACGTGTCTAATCGGGCGAAACTGCGCAACGTGGCCGTTGAGAACTGCGCAACGCAGGGTTGACTCTGCCCCAAAATCTGCTGTATAATGTTGATTGAACAGCATGACGAATAAATAAAGTTGCAGAATATTTTGCATTCCATCCTTCGCAAGACTCTTGAGGGTGTGGATACATTACACCCATACTTGCCGTACATTTATTATCGAGCTTCAATACCAGGGTAGAGCGAACTTTAGCAGAGTGTCAAATAAAGTTTAGTTCCAATGCTTAGTACCATGAGACTTCGGAAATTCACTGCCGAAAGACGTGTAAGCTGAAAAAAACGCTACGAAAGCCTTAACGCTGATGTTTTGCTGTATACCACTTTTTTACTTGAAGATTTTATTGAAACACATTCTTGCGACGCAGTTGTATTACGACTAGATTGCGGTGACTGCTAAACTTGCTTGAAAGAATATGTTTTATTCAAGCAAATTCAATTAGCAAACTAGGCTCTTATTAGAATATCATTTACTAAATATTAACTAATTATCTGGAGACGTCCCACTCAGATATGTTGTTCTCCTAGTGAGAAACATATATCTGCAAAATCATGGAATAAGAAAAGACAACTATTGTAGACAAAAACATCCGGTACGCAATGTGTTAAAAGCAGCATTCATACTCTGCGCCAAACGCATATGCGATCATACATTTCCATTTCAGCTCAAAATCGACAATCTCGCCGCAGTGCCCGGTGAATGTTGAGTGTGAGTTTGCGTTGCGGCACGAGGTGCGGAGCTTGCGCCAAACACGGAAGCGAGATCTCGCTCGCTCGTAAACGTTTAAGACCGGTGTCATACTTTGCCAAATCGTGTAGGACCGATGCACCAGCGGCTCGAGCGATGTATCAGGGGCTTGACAGTATTTGAAAGTGGCGGTAGATTCCTCGATTCGCAGTTGAATCTCGCCACCATGCCGGACTCGTACGACCATTTCGCGGTTTTAGCTCAAGTGAGGCCTGTCGAGTGGCAAGAGTCGAGGTGAATGGCATAGTTCGATCCGGGGCCCCTCAACCGTCAGGTTGACCAATTTGAAAAATTTTACGACCACATCTCCCTTTTCAGGGACTTCGATACGAACCTCCCCCCTCATGGTTAACCCTTCACGGACCATCCTTCACCACCCTCGCCTGCCATCGCCATGGGGCGTTCTATAGTATTTCATGAGACCAGTCGACACAGCCCAACTCCGCCCACTTTTCCCTCCAAAATTGCCGTTGGTGGGGAGGGGGAGGGGGTATATACCTACCACGAAACCGCGAACATCCCCGCACTTTCCCTCTGTTTCACCCGTATTTCCACTGAAACATTTTCTAGGGGGGGGGGGCATATACACCACCTTTCATAAGAATCATCCCTTCCCTTACTGTAACATTAACGCTACCCCGCAAAATACGACCCCCCTCTTTTCCACCCCCCAAATACGACCCCATCCCACCCCTCGTTGGACTTTGTCCAACCGACGGTTGACCCTGGTTCGATCCGCTGGCTGGCCCGCTCGTTCATACCCGCTATTTGCTAGGATCGAGGATTCGCTAAATCTGATACCGGCCTAGAGGATCCAGGAGTCCAGAACATGCACAAATGCAGGAAAAGGACCGGATACGAATTGGTCATTCCACCCAAAATGGCTGCAGATATTTGAGCGCACTAGGAGAATCGGGATTGGTGAGCCCTCAAAAAATGCCGAAAGAAAAGACCACCTAGATATGTATTGGTTAAACTCCGTAGTTGGAGAATCAGTCAATAAGTACCCTGTGTTTCTCTCATGGTCAGTCCTCCGACTTTCAAAATGGAGGGTACAAAAGTTGCTATTCTTCCCGTTCCGTAATTTTATGATATTCCACAACGAAGTGTGCAGAGTACGACATTTCCCTTGCATTTTCAGAAAAACTCCTGAAACAAGTTTTAGTAGAAAGAATAAGTCCTGCTTGCCCAACGCACTTTTGGATCTAAGGCGCCACGTGCTGTTCTGGTGGACGTCGATGCTTACGTTAATGTCAAGACACATCATTTAATGCAGCACGACCGGCTGTGAACACCTCTTGACTTGACTGTGGTACCGGATACTAGGGGTCTCGCGTAGTCGCCGCTCCATGAATAACGCGATATACCCACCTAACACGGGAGTCGTAATAAAGTTTCTTAAAGTGGTTTCTCATCTTAATGACTGTCGCCTAAACCTACACCCTGAAAAAATGCAGGACGAGTTTTTTGGCAAGCTGCCCACTGTTTGAATTCAGTTCGTTGCGGGACCCACGCCATTTGCCACTACCGTAATTGGTTTTGGCGCATCGTTCCTATTAGGACTGTCCATTTGAATGGTTGACATTGGTTTTTGGAATGAATGCAATGTTGTTGCATTCATTCACGGCCACGATTTTGCCGGACTCCATCAAGCACTACAGATAAGTTGGAATAACTTCAAAATATTGGGCGGAGAATAGAAGTGGATTGCTTTGCGAACCCAACGTAAGTGGCGCAGAGATTCAGGGTTTCCAACCTCGGCGAACGTACAGCTTGATAAATCGCATACAAGTGTATGATAGTAAACACCTTAAAGAAACGACAAATGAATAGCATTAGGGTTCAAATTCTCCACTGGAGGCCACAAGTAGTGAGCTTGAAAAAAGTATACGGCCCAAATGTCTACAAGTTTGCAAATGGTGCTAACTTAGTTGGGGGGGGGGCACGCGGCGGCGCGGCAGTCTGCTCGCCTGGCATGTTCGGAAATCCGTGGGCCAGGGGGAGTGTAGGCAGTCTAGGGGGGTGGGGGTGGGGCAGTCACTTGACATGCGTGAAAAGCTGGAATGTTCGAGTTTACACTGTCTCGCTCGAGAGAGCCCAGGTGAGCAGACTGCCGCGCCGCCGCGTGCCCCCCCCCAACTAAGTTAGCACCGAAATCTAACCATACAGCGTTACCAATCTCAATCACACATATGTCATGGACCCGTAGTTACTCCTCAATCGAATCGCCGCTGAATGAAGTAAAAATCTAGGGAATCCGCGACACAGGACTTCTTGTGTGATTTCCGCGCTCGACAAGATTTTACAAATTCAAATGTACAGTCCTAATAGGAACGATGCGCCAAAACCAATTACGGTAGTGGCAAATGGCGTGGGTCCCGCAACGAACTGAATTCAAACAGTGGGCAGCTTGCCAAAAAACTCGTCCTGCATTTTTTCAGGGTGTAGGTTAACGGCGACAGTAAGAGTCTCTTATGAGTCATATCAGTGCTAAGTTTATGAACTATTGGCAAGAATCAAATATGAAATAAGGTTGAAGTAGTCTAAAGTTTTCTCCAATGGGAATCGAAAAGAAAGCAACCTTTTACAGTGCTCATAATGTTCTACTTCTATAAAGTGCAAGCTATGCTCTGGTGCAACAACACGCCCCAATTGTGAACGACGCAACGCGACCGCAGGAACGTTGATTATTTATGTTAAGCTCCGTGGTGGTCTTTGTACAAAGATTGGAATTAGATTTTGATAGTATGTGAATTTGGGGTTTATTTGTATTTCGTTCGATCAGTATAGAAGCACTGAAATAAACTTATAGAAGAAGTCTATGGTGTTGACGTAATAATAATAATTTAGAGAGGAACTGTAATGGTTCAGACTGTTCTTTCCTTCAGGGTTTTGATACAATTCTTGCAATCAATTTTGTGTAGTTTATATCTTGTGTGTATGATAGTATGCAAACTAGGAGTACAATTCTAAAAAAAAGAATGCTATGGATTTACGGAAATGAAAACAGCTAACCTGTACAGTCACCGTTGAACGTGGTTATCGTTAACTTGTTAAATCTATGCTGGTCTACGTTGCTGTGATTACGTTATCTTCTCTTGACTGATGTGCTTTGACCGTATCTATTACAGACCCAAAATGACTGCCGAAGGAGCCACCTCTAGCGTTCTAGCCGCTTGTGAACACAGGACAAAAAAGAGTCTGTTCAAGGCGAAGGTAAGCATTTGGGCACATACTGTGAGCATTTGTTGGAAGGGATTCAGTCCACCGTTTTCTTATTCAACCTGCGAGAATTTCTTTTTCAGGAAGTGCGGAAAAAGCTGAAGACGTGTAAGCGGTCTTGTGAGGAATGTGAACGGAATCTCAAAAATGGAACAGTTCCGGAAAATTCAAACGTGTGTTCAGTGTTTTATGAGATCACCCGCAGTTGACTATCCTAGTCTTTCTCTTCAATAGTGCGCGATGTTTCAGGCGGAGGTATTTGTCTGTGTCTCATGCGGTTGCCTTACTTGTGCTACTCATGCCAAGAAACACTGGGAAGCACCTCGCACTGGGGAGAAACATCCTCTTCTGTTTAATCTCGAGAGCTGTCAAATCAGGTATGATTTTCTGATATTATGATCGTTAAACACACTATTTATTTCGTTCTCCAGCGAAGATTGCGAAATTTTCTTCGATTTATACACTTATTGAAGCCATGGTATTTACAAGTACAACTGATGTTAAAGGTAGGGAAATTAAGGGGCTTAGAACGTCCGCCAAATCATCACAATTTAAACTGATCAATATCTATTAGAGTGTCCATAAATCTTCTCGGGAACGTTTGTCTATTTGACTAATCGCGTGAGCGTTGGAAGGAGGTAATGGAAAGTAAGTGTAGAGTAAGTGGATGAATGAAATCACTAATTTGAGCGAAATCCAATACCTATTTATATAAGTGTTGAGCTATGCGATCACCTTATCAAGTCATCACAGGTCATACAGTATCAATTAGCATTGTAGTTCAAACTCCAGAAACCCAATTCGGTTATCTTTAGTATTCGTTTTTGAGCGGAGAAAGTTGTAAATCAGCGTACTCTGCGAAGTGGGTGGAATGGGTTGGTACCGATCTCTGTGATTCTGCTTTGATCGATTCTCAGTTTAAATTATCGAGCCTTAGGCTGCGATCAAAGTTCGCGATTCTGCGTTTTTCGATGTTGCGAGCTTGTGAAATGGTAGGTGTAGTCGGTGAAATTTAGCCAAATCGACAACTAGCTCTAACTACATAACCTTCAGGGGAAATCGATCAACGATGTACTCTTTAATTAGTTACTACCACTATCGAGCATTCCACTATTAGGTTTTTGAAAAGCCTTGTCGTCCTACGTGATTGTTGAAAGGCCTTGTCGTCCTACGTGATAAAGTGCCCACCCCATTCCACGAGAATGACCCCTTTACTTCGAAGAAAGTTTCCTCTAGAATATGATAAAGTAATCAGGCAAACGTTCCAAACTTAGTCATTACTTATTCTTGACATTCCACTAGTTTTTGATTCCTCTTCCCAAAGATTCAGGTTCAGATTTGATGCGATATGTAGTGCTTAATCATCGAGTCCCGCAGAAGGACTAAGTTTGAAAACGAACGACTCGACTTTTTGAGAAGCCTTATAGCGGAATGTTCAGAGGGCATCGTGCCTGAGGAAGGGGGTACATCTTTGGGGTCGATTTCTCCTAGAGGCTAGTTGCAGAAAATCGAGTTAGAGCTAAATGCCTGATTACCATCGACCGGAGCTCCCAACTTGCTGGTCTAAAACTCAAATCTCCTTTTGTATGTGGAAGCGAAACGGCCATCTTGTAGGGCAGACAAACTCTCTCCAAAGATGTATGATATTATGTAAAAACTTAGGGTTTTTGGAGAAAATTCTCCGTTTGAAAAAAAAACGACACTGCTCATGAGACAATTTAATACAGTAGATGAGTACATATCACGTACGCGCATGTGGAGCGCAGAATAGCACGGTCGATTCGTGTCCACTTCGCGCCTGACTGCAAAGCGAATTGCAATGCGGTCGCAAAGCATGACCGCACCCTAAGAATACCTCATCCATCTTTTGGCTGGGAATACTTCGACATCAGTACTGGGTATGTATGCGATTTGTTTTCTGTTCTATCTATCTCTTTGTCTACTGCTGGATTGTTTGTACCACGTTTAATCGCTGCGTAGCCTCATATTGATGAAGTTAATGTTCAGTATGAGGCCACATCATTTTTCCAAGGGTTGACGTCGAAAGAAATCGATCTTGCATGAGTTTTATCATTGAGCTTTCTCATGGAATATTCGTCGACGTTCTTGGGCATTGCTCCGTTAGAACTCCCCTGCGTATACATAAAGCTTGAAATAATATTGAGATGCGTAACTCGAGCTCATAATCATCTAATTAAGGTGTGAAGCGTGCGACCTGGTGCTTTCAGCTACAGATGATCCTCAAGATCTCGTCAAATTGTTTTGTAATGAATATAGGTAATGTTCGTTGCTCAGTTGGGTGTAAATATAATACTAACATAAATTTATATCGTTCAGGTCATTCGTAAAAACCAAAGCCGAACCAAAAACGAATCGCAAGGTGATAGATATAAAGTCACCTTCTAATGAAGCCGCGCATGATCGGGATATAAAGGTATTGGGTTAAGTCCCCACTTCTATATCCTAATCTGTTTTTCCTTACTTTCAGATTGAAACTACTCGTTCTACACAAGCTAGTGCAGACGTACCGCTTACTAATACGAAGAATTCAGTGTCCCATGAAATTGGGAGGAAACGTGGTATTCCCACGGATTATATGATTCCTGCTAAGGTACTGTTCACGACAGCTCTAAAACAAACATATAATATAGTATATAAACTGAAACAAATGTTACAAAAACATCAAATTACATATTTCATCTCACATACACGGCGTCAAGAGGAAGCTGAATTAACTTAGTTAACTCACCAAAGAGTCATCAATTATGTAGCAACTTGAAGCCTATGAAATATTTTTTAAAAGCTTCTCAAATTTATTTGTTTATTTAATTATTATGAGTCTTTTTCAGTTGTATTTAGTTGAATCATATTTTGTATCTCTGTATTCTTCATTGCAAGCTTAATTTTCAGGGCCTTGCGAATTTGGGAAATACTTGTTTTTTCAACAGTGTAATGCAGTGTATGATGCACACTCATCACCTCACTTACTACTTTCTACGTTTCGGAAAAGTTTCTTGTCTGTACTTTCGTGAAGCACAAACAGTTGTGGTTAACGAAGAAAAAGTCGATCTTGAGGTACTTATTTTTCGCCTTCTGGTCTCTATTATTGTAGTCTGTCCAACTCACTACGCTTGTCATCTGAAATTTCAGCCAGCTACGATTGCCGTCCCTTCTGAAGCTACCCCGCTGAATGCGGTTCTTCGCGGATTCATAGCGGAATTCCATTGCGGTGCCACGCCTTCTCCAGGACCGGTGTTTTCACAAATATCGTGCAAAACTCCTCGATTCAAAGGGTACCAACAGCAAGATGCCCACGAACTTCTTAGGTATCATTGTTTTCGTGCTTTTCTTTTTTCTAGGATTTATTGTACCCACGACACATATCGTTGTCATGAAGGAACCTTCGTGTGTTTTTGACTAAAGTAGTGATTAGCGTGGCGCTTTGAATTATTTTATTCTTTTCTGCAGTTTGTTTATTTTTTTATGAGGAAAGAACTCTCCTCAACCAAAATTTTATGTTATTTTATTCGAGTAAGGTTTTTGAAACTTGCAGTTGTAAAGACAATGTAACTTTTTGAAGTTTGTCGAGTTTCAGTTTACTGAGTGCTACTGAAGATGCAAAACCAATACCCAATGAACCGAGTCTTTCCGTTAAAACTCCTCTAGAATTTATATTTTGATTGTTTAATATATTCATTTCCATTGCCTGATAGAGTCTAATCTGTGGTAGCGAATTATGTAAGATGAAGAGCAAAACAGGTCAGCCTAGTAGAACAGCAGTCTCATTTCTTCCTGTAAAATGTGCCCAGTTGGAGTCTTCTCCTAACACATAGACTAACACAGAAGTGATATATGGATTCTAAGACGGTATAGTCAACTCGATAATAACAATATAATCCAAACTTGCAAAAGGTAGGGATTCTCTAATCACTATTCATAAGTATAGCTGACTGGTCACATTTACAAAAGCTGACTAGTGATTTATCTTCCTTTTAGGCTATCTCCAAGCCGCTGGACGCCCACTTTTGGACATGGTGTTTGGTGGTACACTACTGCAGACAATTCTTTGCTCTGAATGTGGCCACGTCAGCGAACGCCATGAGCAGGTATAACGGGTTTTCGTTTCTCATAGGGTTTTGGAAGGTCGTGTTTGTTGCTGCATTGGTTATTGAAAACACGGCTGTTCAATGCTTGTCAAGTACTCATAATCAAGATGGCACGGTTGCTCTTCTGCGAATTTTGTTTTAATCAATAGATACGGATTCAAGTAAATCGTATAAATCATTTGTATTGCAGTTTTTGGACTTATCCATCCCAGTCACAATGAGCGGAGTCGGTCGTTTTCGATCAAGCCGTGCGACAATAACCGCCAATGATGGGCATAAAGGAAAGAAGGTGCGAAAGTGTGAAGAAACAATGGTTTCATGTCCATCTAATACAAATTTTTGCCTTTGTTTTGATTACTGACGCCATTATTATTTAGAGAGGTCGTCAAGGAAAGCGAAGAGGCTCGATGAAAGAACGAAAATATACAAGAAGGTATCGAATTACTTCTATTATCATCTGTTTCGTCGAAAGGATCTCCCATTATTATATCAAGAAAAACAACGTCTTTATCCAATTATCGAACTCAGATTCCTTTCTGTACGCTTTTTCTTTTTTGCGAGTCCGCTAACGCCAGGTGCTAGGCGTGAACGACGCTGTACCATCTTACTCATACTTGTGCACGTGCAATGACATTTCTCAAGTGGTTAGACTATAGATTCGTCGAGGACCCTCGATATTGTTGAGGTTCGGAAATGACCTTCCAACAGAGCGGCGATTTATAAAAATCCGAAATGACCAGATGATGAAACAACACTTGATAGAGAATGGACAATATCTCAGACTTCCGTCGCAGTTTTTATATGGTGTTATCATTAGCCTTACACTTTTTTTGCAGTATGTAGGTATTTAGGCGTCGGACTGTGCTTGTACGAACGTGCATACATTATACGAAGTTATACGACAGCTGGTGTGAATAGACTGGATTTCACAGTAGGTTTCTAAGATATCGTTTATGTTGCATGCATTGCACTAAATTGGTGTACGTAGTACATTGCTAGCTATTTCTGATTTTTTTCAACATGTTAACGGCAGCGCGCGCTTGGGATTGTCATCTCGTGGTTGCGAACCGATTTTGCAAGCGCCGCCGCTCACATCGCATTCGTGAATTTTAAGTTGTCAATGGAAATACTTGGATGAGATGTTCCCAATCACATCATAGTCTTTAAGTTACCGTGAGGTATACGAGGAGATGCTAGCTCAAAATGACGTGACATGGTTAAAATAAGGCAAATTTAGTTGTTTTTGTTGTACTTGTATCTTACTGATCTGCATTTACTTCAACTTCTACTTTTCATGCCACACAATTATGTGCATATAAAGAAAAGCTTGAATGAACCGGGGTAACAAGTTCGTAGGACTTGGAGAATTTTCACGAATAAGCATATTTACAATCAGTGAACTTCGCCATAGACCAACTTCGCCATGTGTAGACATATGATGGTGCGGTGCAAAAAAAATGCTATACGTTCGGAGGGCATACGAGTCGCGCCGTCCCTCACTGCGCTCAAAGTGCGAGGCGGATAGGCATCGCGCTGCCGTCAATGTTACTTGTTTGTTGCGAATAGATTTCCTTGCGTTAATACATTTGATTGCGACAATTGTCTGTTTACTATCACCAATAAGTTATCATTTCATAGGGTTCCTGAGCTTTCTTTTGTAATATGTCTTACACCTCTTGAGAAACTCTTCATCTTATGTGTCGACGTTCGGATCGAAGATCGAAATGAAATTTTATTTCGAGTGAGCAGCCAGTAGCATTCCGGAGGCTCCCGGGCCAACGCCCCTAACCCGATTCTTCAAGTTGACTCTAAGAGAGGCTTAAGGCCCGAAACGTCGTCACATAAAGATTGTGAAGGGTTTCATATCAAGAGCAGTTGAAGAACTAAATTAGTTTGATGTTAGTTTGGAAATGCTGAAGCACTTTTTCATTGGAGATGTTTGCAGAAAGTTCTGGTTGGTCCACCCGAGGAGTATACAGATGGGGTGTGCAGTATAGGTTCGTGCCTTCTAGAGTTCACCGCTGCAGAACAACTGCAAGGTACCAACGCTTACGAATGTGAAAAGTGCTGTGTTCCACGAAACAAAAAGGTTTAGTTTGATAGATTTTAGGCTTCTTCTGGTTCAATGTTATTACATTCAGTTGAAAGCAATCGGCAGTCAGAAGAAACGCGTTTGTGCTTTGAAACGTTACCTCATATATGAGCCACCGGCTGTGCTCACACTTCATTTGAAGAGGTTTCAACAACTAGAGAATGTCTGTGAAATATGTGTTTTCTATTATATAGCTGTAGTTTTCTTAGCCAGCCATTGCTATCACCTTTCGGCAGCAGCTGTTCGCTTGCTAAGATTTGCGAAACTGTTGAATCTAATAGATTCTCGAAGCGATTTTGTGCATCGGTCAGAAGCTAGTGATAATTGTGATGTAGGAGTTAACCCAAGGTGGAATTGAGCCATCAAATGAAGAAGAAAAAATGTACAAAATGAAGTTATAAATATCAACAATTCACTTGACGTGCCGCTGATTTCGAAGTGTCCCCCAACAGGCCCTCCGCGCGGCGAAGCAAGAGACGCAGATGCATGCAAAAGGCCGGACGCATAGTCGGTCGGACGACAGCAACGACTGCTGCTGTCGGACGACAGCAACGACTGCAGGTGTCGCATAAACCGCGGTCGCAAATGGAAGGCGACGCGGTCACCCAATGCTAACCCAGACAACACGTGACTGCGCGTGATCGTATTTCGAAAGTCCCACTGTAGTGTGGAATAGTAGCTGCGTATTGATCTGCGACACTTACGATCGTTGCTGTCGTCCGACAGCAGCGGTCGTAAGTGTCGCATGTGTCGCAGATCGATACGCACCCAATGCTGTGCGACACTTGCGATCGTTGCTGTCGGACCGACCTGAACTGTCAGATGCGGCAAAGAGACGAGTTGCAGCGCGTGCTGTGCGATATGAGACGTAGTATGGTACACTCTCTTTAACCTGACGCCTAACCGCTACAGTATGCGCTGCGACTCGTCCCTTTGCCGCGTCTGCGTCTCTTGCTTCGCCGCGCGGTGGGCCTGTTGGGGGACACCCTAATTTCGAGGTTAGGCTGGTTTGGATTTGAGTCCACTATGAGGTGGGAACGCCACCAGTTTGCTCGCTGCTTTAAGTAGGCTTTTTTTCTTGCTGCTACTCGTTTCTTATCGCTATTTTTGAAGGGAGGACGTCAACAAGGAAGCTCAGTGGTCATGTATCTTTCCCGATGATGTTTGACATGGCCCCGTTCTGCTGTAGAAATGTGGAGGTTTGAATTGTATTGGATTTCGATGCAATCCTGTCATCTCATTTGTCATTTCATTGCAGCGCTTGGCTCCTGGAGAAAAACGATTGCTTTACTCGTTATACGGAGTAGTTGTTCATTCTGGTAGCCTGTCTGGTGGTCATTACATTGCTTACGTTAAAAGTCGTCGTAGGTCAAAGCAGGTTAGTCTTATTCCATATGGAAGTGTTGAAACCACAAAATACAGTTTACTGTGGCTTTTGATCGATTTCTTTTCTGCTATCTGTCATTCTAGTGCCGTTTACGCTAGTGTACTTGTTTACATTTCCTCTATTTACATTTTTGTTCTAAGTGAATGTAGGTACTGCAAAAAAGTTTTCTATGATTCGCGATTTTTTTAAAGTTTACTTTTATTAGTATAGATTTTGAGACCCATGTATGTAATGCGTGATTTGAGTGGAAAGATATGGGAAATTTCCATATGAGAAGCAACGTTTGCAATTTTTCCATAGCAAATTTTAATCCGAGTTCGAATCGTTTAATTATCTTTTTTTATTTCGCTTTCTTTCTTAGCTGTTAAAAAGCGAAGTTGTTAAGGAATTCGTTCAGGCTCATGTGTTTCTGGAATTCGCACGAACTACGTGTGCTGATTCATTGTCCTATCAGAATGGAACCACTATCGAGGATCTTTGTGGTAATTCTGATGTAGAAAATGATGGACAGTGGTACTATTGTAGTGATAGTCAAGTATTAGCTGTTAATGAAAACCGTGTTCTTTCAGCTGAAGCATACATTCTTTTTTATGAGCGGGTGCTATAGGTAATCTAGTCTGTATGATTGTATGAATAGTCGTGCCCCAGTTCCGACCTCCCAAGGTTCGGGTTTTATTCGAAAGTCTTTGAGAGTGTGATAATTGTTAGATGTTCTATTAGAAAACTTATCATAAACATGATGACTTGTGACATTAAAGTAACTTTTACTAATATTTCGTGTCTTAATTACTAGCTTGGTATTTTCAGAAGAATTTTAAAAAGTAAAGGTTTACAGAAATAAGAAGGATTGTTCAAGTCATTCAACGGTTGATGGTAGAACGGATGAGGCAGGTAACTAGGCCATTGCACTTCTTAACGACGCCATTCATGCGGTTATTGGTTGCGCTAGAGTTAATGAAGTTTGCCGGTAACATGATCGAGCAATGATCTCTTCAAACTAGAATCTCTCCATCTTGAAATTTATGGCCAATGAGGGAAGGTCATTAGGTCAACCCTGTCAATTAGAATGAGATGTACCTTTCTGTGCGCCTAGTTAAGCTGCTCTTTTGCTTCTCGCGACAACACTCGTGAAAGTATTTAGGCATGTACTCGTGATGAACAATGGAGCAAACTAACCAAGGTGTCGACCCCACAACCTCTTGCTTTTAACTTCAGTCTGCTATAGCTGCACATTTGGCTTCATGATTGAGTCCAGAAATCGGTTAACAGATTGAAAGCACATTTGGGCTCAGCGAGTTAAGGCGTGTT